CGCCGCCGCCTCCGCCCACCCCGGCCAGCGCCCCAGCCCTGCCCAGTTTGCGCAGGAGAGTGGTAAAACGCGAGCGCTCCTTCGTGGTCTTGGCGCACAGAATCTCCGCCTGGCCCATCAGTGTGAGCTCGTCACCCGCGTGCAGCGTGAAGTTGTACACCTCGCTGTCCTCGCTGAATTCGCCAGACACTACCTGAGGATCCCAGAGACAGAGCGAGGCCTCAGCCAGGGCTCCAAGGAAAGCCCCTGGGCCAGCCCCGCAACGCCATCCAGGACACAGAGCAGCTCTCTCAGGGCTGAGCCCAGATCAGGAGCACCGGCCACGTGGTGGACGTGCGACCCAAAGGGAGCTGCTGCTGCAGACCTGAGCTACCTCCTGTGATGACGCAAACAAGTGGCTTGTTAAACTGTGTGTGCAGTGACGTACTTTCACTGTCAATAACTGGCAACTTTCATTACATTATCTTTACTGTTGGGAGCCATAACAGTGCCCCACCCATCCAACCAGGTTACTGTGAAACAAGTGAATTGATGGACAGGACAAGGGTTTGTACAGTAAAGAGCTATCTGGGGCCACCAGGTGCTGTAGTGGTTAAGGTGCTGGATTCCCACGTGGCCGACTGCAGTTAGAGTCCCCGGACGACAGCTTGATACTCCGGGAGTGCCTGCATGCCTAAGATCCCGAGAGGAGAGTGAAGGAGAAGGGGCTGCTATCCCTCCCAGGGGTGATCTCTCCCTTTCTGTCTCTCCGGTGAGCACACCCATCCTATAGCAAAACTCTCTCACAAAGAAAAAAAAAAAGCATCTATGCCCAGTGGGGACCGTTTGCGTGGCTGACTTTCCACGGCCACTCCCCAGCCAGTGGGTACGGGGCAGCCAGAGTGCTAAGACAGGTATCCAATGGGGCACATCCCCTCCAACAGCCCCCTTCCACAGATGTCCCCCCACCAGTGGACCTGCAGCCCACTCTTCTGACATGGCCTGGTTGTGCTACACAGCCCCTTAAGAGGTCTTCAGAAGCCTTTCTCCTCCCGGACCCAGAGACAAGCCTCCAAAAGGACTGCTCCAAGGGAAGGGTGGTGTGGAGACACCGTGCCTGGTGCAAGGACTGACCTTGACGCTGAAGGTGATGGCTTCCATCACAAAGATGCGGTCAGGGAAGACGCTGGCCACCTCCTCCACGCTGCTGAAGTACCTCACCGGCTCCCGCACATCCCGGGCCTGCTCCAGAAGCTTGAACTTCCCTGCACCGGGGCAGCACAGGCTGCTGAGCTGGGCCTGCCCACTGGGAGCCCGGGGTATCTCAAATGCCTGGTGGCCCCTCCTTCTTGCTGCCTTCATCTCAGCCAAACCCTCTGGATCTCAGGTGTGCAAAAGGGCAGACTCCCGTTCACTCCAGGTGGAAGGAGCTGGTCATCTCAGCATGGGGGTAAGCCCAGACTCCTAACAGCCAGAGGCCAACCCTCACCCCGTAGAGAGCTTGTGGATGGGCGATGAGGCTGACGGCTGCCTGCCCAGCAACACCCAGTGTCAAACTGGCGCCAAGCACCTAAACACAGATCTGGCCTCTGATCAAGCATCCATGTGGCATTTGGGGATGCTGCCTCCTACCTGGGTCCCAGCCCGACCTGTGACTTGCTGTGGCTCCAGACAAGTCTATGTCACTCTCTGGGCCACTAGGTTCTCACCTGGGGGCCCTGAGACAGACGATCTTGGGGCTTGGTCAGATCTGCATCCTGTGAGTTGTGGATCCACACCGATGCTTTGGGCAGACGAGCAGTCCACCCCAGGCCTTGGGGGTCCCAGGCGATCACTCTGACCCCAGCTCTGTTTCTAAACCCTGCCCTGGTCCGACATCCAGTCCCACCATCCTAAAGGCTCTGACCTGAGCCCAGCAAAGCACATCCCAGAGGAGGCCTGCCCAAGCTGCAGCTGAGGGCTATGTGTCCTGCTGACTCAGCTGACGCCGCCAGCAGACAGACTTTTAAAAAGTGATGCAGGGGCTAGCAGGTGTGTGGTCATTAACCATGTGGACCCCACATGGCTGACTGATTCGATTCTCAGACCCTGCAGCTTGAAAATCATGCCGGGCATGTGTGCATGCCTGTCCAGGATCCCGAGAGGAGAATGGAGGAGAAGGGACTGAGGCCTGGCCATCCTCCTGGTGGGTGATTTCTCACTTTCCCTCCCACTGTCTCTCTGTTTCTCTTTTTTTTTTTTTTTTTTGGAGGATTTTTCTTTGCAGTGG